CAAATGATTTAGATAAAGAAAAATTGGATATCAAATTGGGGAGGAGGAGTATGGAATAAGTGAATGTTTTCAGATACTTGGGAGTTGACGTGTCGGCGGATGGATTTATAAAGGATAAGGTTAATCATAGAATTGATGAGGGAAAAAAGGTGAGTGGTGCGTTGAGGTATATGTGGAGTCAAAAAACATTATCTATGGAGGCAAAGAAGGGAATGTATGAAAGTATAGTAGTACCAACACTCTTATATGGATGTGAAGCTTGGGTGGTAAATGCAGCAGCGAGGAGACGGTTGGAGGCAGTGGAGATGTCCTGTCTAAGGGCAATGTGTGGTGTAAATATTATGCAGAAAATTCGGAGTGTGGAAATTAGGAGAAGGTGTGGAGTTAATAAAAGCATTAGTCAGAGGGCAGAAGAGGGGTTGTTGAGGTGGTTTGGTCATTTAGAGAGAATGGATCAAAGTAGAATGACATGGAAAGCATATAAATCTATAGGGGAAGGAAAGAGGGGTAGGGGTCGTCCTCGAAAGGGTTGGAAAGAGGGGGTAAAGGAGGTTTTGTGGGCGAGGGGCTTGGACTTCCAGCAAGCGTGCATGAGCGTGTTAGATTGGAGTGAATGGAGATGAATGATACTTGGGACCTGACGATCTGTTGGAGTGTGAGCAGGGTAATATTTAGTGAAGGGATTCAGGGAAACTGGTTATTTTCATATAGTCGGACTTGAGTCCTGGAAATGGGAAGTACAATGCCTGCACTTTAAAGGAGTGGTTTGGGATATTGGCAGTTTGGAGGGATATGTTGTGTATCTCTATACGTATATGCTTCTAAACTGTTGTATTCTGGGCACCTCTGCTAAAGCAGTGATAATGTGTGAGTGTGGTGAAAGTGTTGAATGATGATGAAAGTATTTTCTTTTTGGGGATTTTCTTTCTTTTTTGGGTCACCCTGCCTCGGTGGGAGACGACCGACTTGTTGAAAAAAAAAAAAAAAATTTAATGTGTTTTGCTGATCTAGTCAGTATGGATAGAAAGAATTGAAAAGGAAATGTTTAAAAGATGTGAAGGTTATATTGTTTTTATTATCAGTAGAAACAGTATAGAGAATATGTGAACACAATATGAAAATCTCGGTAATGCTAGTAAAATCAGTGAGTGCACCATAGTCGTATATTTCTCAATTTTTTTTTGACTGGTTGTCTGGGTGTCCAGTTCTTCAATGTACAGGAAGGCCATGTTTGTATGGCTCTTACATTCCTAACCCCATGTGATAAATGAAAATTGCTGGCAGGTGGAAAAAGTTATTTTTTTAATTTTTGAGTGTGTTTAAAGTGCCTAATAACATTTTTTTTTTAACACACCAGCCATTTTTCCCACCAAGGCAGGGTGACTCAAAAAGAAAGAAAAACCCAAAAAGAAAGAAAAATACTTCGATCATCATTCAACACTTTCACCATCATAAATACATAATCACTGATTTTGCAGAGGGGCTCAGATATGGCAGTTTAGAAGACCTCCAAACTGCCACTATCCCAAACCCCTCCTTTAAAGTGCAGGCATTGTACTTCCCATTTCCAGGACTCAAGTCCGGCTAACCGGTTTCCCTGAATCCCTTCACAAAATATTACCCTGCTCACACTCCAACAGTTCAAGTTCCAAAAACTATTTGTCTCCAATCACTCCTATCAAACACGCTCATTCATGCTTGCTGGAAGTCCAAGCCCCTCGCTCACAAAACCTCCTTTTGCCCCTCCCTCTCTACCCTGCCTTCATTTCCCTACAGATTTATATGCTCTTCAAGTCATTCTACTTTGTTCCATTCTTTCTAAATGTCCAAACCACCTCAACAACCCCTCTTCAGCCCTCTGACTAATGCTTTTAGTAACTCCACACCACCACCTAATTTCCACACTCCAAATTGTCTGCATAACATTTACACCACATGTTGCTCTCAGACACGACATCTCCAGTGCTTCCAGCCACCTCCTTGCCACAGCATTTACAACCCAAACTTCATACCATATAAATGTGTTGGTACCACTATACTTTTATACATTCCCTTCTTTGCCTCCATGGATGACGTTTTTTGTTTCCATAGATACCTCGATGTACCACTCACCTTTTTTCCTTCAATTCTTTGGTTAACCTCATCTCTCATAAACCCATCCGCTGACAAGTCAACTCCCAAATATCTGAAAACATTCACTTCTTCCATACTCCCTCTCTCCAATGTGATATCCAATTTTTCTTTATCTAAATTGTTTGATACTCTCATCACCTTACTCCTATCTATGTTCACTTTCAACTTTCTACCTTTACACACCCTCCGAAACTCATCCACTAACCTTTGCAACTTTTCTTTAGAATCTCCCAAAAGCACAGTATCATCAGCAAAAAAGTAACTGTCAACTCCCATTTTGTATTTGATTCCCCATAATTAAATCCCACCCCTCTCCCCAACACCCTAGCATTTACTTCTTTTACAACCCTGTCTATAAATATTTTAAATAATCATGGTGACATTACACATCCCTGAGCCTCACTATCCTCATAAAAATTCTTTACAGCATTTACTAGCTTACTTCCTATTCCATACACTTGCAACATCTGCCACATTTCTCTCCTATCCACTCTATCATATGCCTTTTCAAAATCCATAAATGCAATGAAAACTTCCTTACATTTATTTTAATACTGTTCACATGTATGCTTCAATGTAAACATTTGATCTACACATTCCCTACCCACTCTAAAGCCTCCTAGTTCATCTGCAATCCTGCTCTCTGTCTTACCTCTAATTCTTTTAGTTATAACGTATAACCTATAATTTTTACAATCTCTTTTGTCCCTCCTTCCCTTTATGTAAAGGAACTATGCACACACTGCCAATCCCTAGGTACCTTCCCCTCTTTCATACATTTATTAACCCTTAAACTGTCCAAACGTAAATCTACGTCCATGTGCGGGGGGCTCCGAATGTTTGTCTACGTATTTTTTTACATGCTTTCTGATGGGGAAAATCAAGGTCGGAGCGCTACGCACGTGAACGTAGATCTACTTTTGGACAGTTTAAGGGTTAAACAAAAACACCAACCACTTCAACACCATATCCTCCCTGCTTTTAACATTTCTGCCATCATCCCATCAGTTACAGCTGCTTTACCCCCTTTCATTCTACGTAATGCCTCACGCACCTACCCCACACTCGCATACTGCTCTTGTTCATTCCTAAAAGATGTTATGCCTCCCTAGCCAGTGCATGAAATTACTGCCTCCCTTCATCGCCATTTGAAAGTTCCTCGAAATATTCCCGCCATCTACCCAATACATGTACCTCCATTTTCCCGTCAACTAACTCCCCTACTCTGTTTTTAACTGACAAATCCATGAGTTCCCTAGGCTTTCTTAACTTGTTTATCCTTGTTTATCTCACTCCAAATTTTTTTTTATTTTCAGCAAAATTTTTTGACAATGCCTCTCCCACTCTATCATTTGCTCTTCTTTTGCACTCTCTTCACCTTTCTATTACTCTCCATATACTCTGCCCTTCTTATATCACTTCTGCTTTATAAAAAAACTCTCATAAGCTACCTTTTCTCTTTTATCATACCCTTTACTTTGTCAATTAAAGGCTTCCCATTTTCATTTACCCCTGGCACCCCAAATTTACCTACTACTTCCACTCTTTATCCACTCTAGCATTAAGATCCCCAACCACAAGTACTCTCTCACTTAGTTCAAAACTCCCTATGCACTTAACTTTTCCCAATCTCTCTCTCTCCCACACTTCTCTCTTCCCCAGGTGCATAAACACTTACTATAGCCCACTTTTCACATCTGTATATTTATATATTAAGTGCTCAATACAGCTAGGCATAAAAAAACAGATAAAGCAAAATAAATACACAGTACATACAATACGTACTTCAAAATATTGTGACAGTTGCCCTTCCATTATGCAACTTGTACGAAAATGGTGGAAAAAAAAGGTAAAAACACTAAATATAATGAACAATGGCTCAGTTGAAAGCCAGTGAAAACACTGAACACTGAAATGGGGTGCTCTATATGCAGGGCCCTCCTGTACATCTCGTGTAGAAAGGTTTAATGTTAAACATTAGGAATGCGCCAGTATAGGTCTCAGTGGGTATTGGCTGATTTTGAGGTTATCATTATTGGCCTGAACTTGAATATTGGTATCAGTGATTAACGAATAATTTTGATGGTATCGATGTTGGTGCCAAGATATGTATGTATTGGCTAATTTTGATGGTATTGATATCATCCTAAAATTGAGTATCAGTATCTGCAAACATTTTGGTATTGTCCCATCCCTATTAACCATTAATTGTTTTCACCAAAAAATAAATGCCTTTTACTCAATGTCTAAAAGTGACAGTTGAAGAGTGAGTGGAAATAGGTGTAGCTGAACTTAGGTATGTGATTGAATTTAGGTATGTGACTGATCTTAGGATGTGACTGAACATAGGTCTGTGACTTAATTTTCAATCCTAGTTTTCAGTCAAATGCAGTAGTACATTGATTTTTTTTGTATGAGTTTTTTTAAGCATATATGATGGGCCCAAGTAATTTGGATTTTTTCTTCTGCTCTTGGAAGATTCTAATGAAGACAGAATTTTATTTAATAATTTTAATTTTTTATGAAGTGCATCTATATTTTTTATGTAAGCTTTTTAAGCACATGTATTGCAGGCTCATATTTTTTTGTGTTTGGTCAGCTGCTGAAGACATGTGAATGTTTATCTCATAGTATAAATAGTTCTGTGCTGCATTTGCAAGTTGTATTTGTGGGGTCATACTATAATATACTTGTATGATGTTCTGGTAATTTGGTATAACCTGCACAAGTGTGTATTATGTCACTAAACTTTATTTAGCCCCAATTAAACCTTAAGATTTTCTTTAATTTCAATTACAGATAATCTGCTTCCTTTAGGCCAAATACAAGACTGACCACTGTATGTACATATTTTATCTTTGTTTCAGTGTAATGCCAAGAATATTAGGTTAATAACTATGAACAATTTGCTTCCGTCATCAATAAAGATGCACCAAAGATATGATCTAAAGGGATCCACGTACAAGAGAAAGGTAAGCCAGTATAACTAAGTACTTGCTATCTAAGATTATTTTATTAGATATTATAATTAATTTAGATTTGATAACATAATAATAATAATAAATAATAATAATAATAATAATAATAATAATAACAACAATTGTTTGTTCATAGGTATTTGCACAGAAGTATGGAACTCAAAATAGATGGTTTTCAAACCCAGTTAGGTATCTGTATTCTGAAACATTTTGCCTACACAGTAAGCTTCTTCAGTCGAATACAGAGGAGGCAGCAGCAGCAGTGGAGATGTAGAAACTATGTAATCAGTCTGCCACCCATGAGATAGTGGTTTTGAAGTGGTCAGCCTGGAGCAGACCTCTTCTCCAGTCTGAGGGACAGACCGCTTTAACTTTATTACTTCAAAGGCGATGGACTGATTACATCATCTCTGCATATCCACTGTTTCTGCCTCCTCTGTATTTGACTGAAGAAGCCTAATGTGTAGTTGAAATATGTTGGAATAGAGATACCTAACTGTTACACATGTGTCATACTCATTTTTGTTGTCTGTCTGACCCTTCAAGAAGAGGGAGGGAATGTCCTGATATTGAATGTCCTTCCTTGGATTAAACCTGATTGACTCCCATTCCCTAGAATCTGTATGACCCTTGTGTGTTTATCATTTTCCCAATGAATATAATTATAATGCTTGAAAGATACCCAAGAGTACCAAAGACAAACCAGTTGACCACGTCATATTAAGGTTTAATGTGATTATATTGTATAATACTCTCAAGTAAGTGTTCTTACCTATTCCATTTGTTCACAGGCTAGTAAGTATGAGCGTAGTAAAGAGTCGGCCACTTTTAAAGATCTAGATTTTATGGAGCATCATCCTGACGGCATCCTTTTAGAAGCTGAAACATACAAGGCTCTCATTAACACCATTGCCAGGGACTGTAGGGTAATTATGATTTTTTTCACTCTTGAAGTATTAAAAGAAAATTGGTCTTTCAACACTTTCACCTCATTCATACATAATCACTGTTTTTGCAGAGGTGCCCAGAACACAACAGCTTAGAAGTATATACATATAAAAATACACAATGTATCTCTCCAAACTGCCAATATCTCAAACCACTCCTTTAGAGTGCAGGCATTGTACTTCCCATTTCCAGGATTCAAGTCCAGTTATATAAAATAACTGGTTTCCCTGAATCCCTTCACTAAATATTACCCTGCTCACACTCCAACAGATCGTCAGGTCCCAAATACCACTCGTTTCCATTCACTCCTATCGAACATGCTCATGCACGCCTGCTGGAAATCCAAGCCCCTTGCCCACAAAACGTCCTTTACCCCTTCCTTCCAACCTTTTCAAGGACGACCCCTACCCCGCCTTCCTTCCCCTACAGATTTATACGCTCTCCACGTCATTCTACTTTGATCCTTTCTCTCTAAATGACCAAACCACCACAACAACCCCTCTTCAGCCCTCTGACTAATACTTTTATTAACTCCACACCTTCTCCTAATTTCCACACTCTGAATTTTCTGCATAATATTTACACCTCACATTGCCCTTAGACAGGAAATCTCCACTGCCTCCAACCGCCTCCTCGCTGCTGCATTCACAACCCAAGCTTCACACCCATATAAGAGTGTTGGTACTACTATACTTTCATACATTCCCTTCTTTGCCTCCATAGATAACGTTTTTTGTCTCCACATATACCTCAAAGCACCACTCGCCTTTTTTTCCTCATCAGTTCTATGATTAACCCCATCCTTCATAAATCCATCCGCCGACACGTCAACTTCCATGTATCTGAAAGCATTCACTTCTTCCATACTTCTCTCCAATTTGATATCCAATTTTTCTTTACCTAAATCATTTGATACCCTCATCACCTTACTCTTTTCTATGTTCACTTTCAACTTTCTACCTTTACACACACTCCCAAACTCATCCACTAACCTTTGCAATTTTTCTTTAGAATCTCCCATAAGCACAGTATCATCAGCAAAAAGCAACTGTGTCAATTACCATTTTGTATTTGATTCTCCGTAATTTAATCCCACCCCTCTCCCGAACACCCTAGCATTTACTTCCTTTACAACCCCATCTATAAATATATTAAACAACCATGGTGACATTACACATCCCTGTCTAAGACCTACTTTTACTGGGAAGTAGAATCCCCCTCACTTCTACACACCCTAACCTGAGCCTCACTATCCTCATAAAAACTCTTTACAGCATTTAGTAACTTACCACCCATACCATATACTTTTAACATCTGCCACATTGCTCCTGTATCCACTCTATCATATGCCTTTTCTAAATCCATAAATGCAATAAAAAGTTCTCTACCTTTATCTAGATACTGTTCACATATATGCTTCAATGTAAACACTTGATCTACACATCCCCTACCCACTCTGAAACCTCCTTGCTCATCCGCAATCCTACATTCTGTCTTACCTCTAATTCTTTCAATAATAACCCTACCGTTCACTTTTCCTGGTATACTCAGTAAACTTGTTACTCTATAATTTTTACAATCTCTCTTGTCCCCCTTCCCTTTATAATAATATACTTGGCAGTTTGGAGGGATATGTTGTGTATCTTTATACGTATATGCTTCTAAACTGTTGTATTCTGAGCACCTCTGCAAAAACAGTGATTATGTGTGAGTGTGGTGAAAGTGTTGAATGATGATGAAAGTATTTTCTTTTTGGGGATTTTCTTTCTTTTTTGGGTCACCCTGCCTTGGTGGGAGACAGCCAACTTGTTGAAAAAAAAAAAAACTTACATAATTGTTCAATTTGGGAGCTGTATGAAACTTAGGGTATCACTGTATGTTGAAACTTAAACAAATAACAAATTATTGAAGTACTGGTGCAGTACTTTCATTTGGATCAAATAGTCTTAGTAAACTATATGTTAATGGCTCTTTAATTAAACACATTCATAGGGCAGCACTACTGCATGTGTAAACTATTGTACTTTTCAAACTTGTTTCAAACTTGTTGATAGAAAATTGAATGCTATTTATTAATTTATATTTTTCAGGTATTAACATCATTCAAGATCATGGATTACTCCTTGTTAGTGGGCATTCACAATCTTGACCTGGCAGCCAAGAAAAAAGCAGTAAGTTCCCAGCTTATTTAGTACGACTAGAAATTAGGAGGAGGTGTGGAGTTCCTAAAAGTGTTATTTGGAGGGCTGAGGAGAGGTTGTTGAGGTGGTTTGATCATTTAGATAGGATGGAGCACAATAGGATGACTGGAGGGTGTATAAATCTGTAGTCGAGGGAAGGAGGGGTAGGGATTGCCCTAGGAAAGGATAAAGGGAGAGGGTAAAAGAGGTTTTGTGTGAAAGGGGCCTGGACATAGAGGAGGCATATGTGAGCTTGTTAGAGAGGAGTGAATGGTTTTTGGGACTTGACGAGATATTGGAGTGTGAGCGAGGTAACATTTGTGAAGGGATTCAGGGAAACCAGGAAGTGAAACTTGAATCCTGGAGGTGAGAAGTGCAGTGCCAACACTCTGAAGAGGGGTTGGGGACATTTGGAGTTATGTAGGGGCATCTGAACTGTAGTTTCGACATGCCTTTGACAAGACAGTGATGGAGCAGATGATAGTGAAAGTGTTTCTTCTTTTTTTTTTTGTAAACACACTAGTCGTCTTTGGGAGACGACTGGTGTATTAAAAACAAAAAAGATACTCTTTGGGTCACTGATATGGCAGGAGACAGCTGATGTCTAAACAACTAAATATTATCATCAGTTTCCTTACATTTTAACCCTGATGATGCACTGGATATGAAATCACTGTGCATGTTTACTACGCAGAAAAAAAAAGCTAATTTAGTCTCGTCTGTTTAGACCTGTGACTCTCATGGTGATAAACAGTTTTTATATAACTATCATCAGCTTTCTCATAGGATATACAACACTTCACAGTAATGAGTATACCCCTGACTTATATCTGGGGTTATGGTAAAATCTGATAATTGTAATGGAAGTTTTTTTTACCTTCCCTTCCCAACTTAGGGTCCAGGTGGGTTAGTGTATGACTGGTAATATAGTATGTGAAAGAAAATAACTTCTTTGATTGTTGTTGGTTATCTTTGCAAATATATTCTTAGAATGAATGTTATCTATCAACAGCAAGAGAAGGAGAGAAGGTTAAATGGTGGTGATGGAGGTGTTGCGGAAGATGGAAATGGAGAAGGTGCAGAAGGGTCAAGTCTAACTCGCTCCCGCTCTATCAACCGACATAAACTAGTGGCTCACTCAACAGCCATGGAATCTATACAAGCAGATTCTGATCCCATAGATGAAGAAGATCAAGTTCCGTAAGTTTGCATGGGAATTTGTAGAATAGGATAATCATCTAATATACTTTAACTTGTACCACATGATAATGGAACTGTTAAAATGATATGATTAAAGTTCTAGGAATAAATGTGCAGAACAAAATTCTTCTCATTATTTACCATTTACAACGGTTGAAGAATTGCCTGAGAATGTATGTTATGTAAAAAAGTTTATTATAGTCTAGAAAATCCTGCTTCAAATGTTATTCTTCTAGTTTTCACCCTACCAAATTTAAAGTGGGAGACGATAGGTAATATTGTAGCTGAAAAGTTGCATGTGTGTACTCTAGACCAACATACAGTAACAAATTTGCACCAAGCCATTATGATGACATTTCAGTCCAACTTGGACCATTAACAAGTTGGATCAAAACATTGTTAAGGGTTTGTCTCTTGTGTGCGGGTTATTTGTGTACTGTTCCTTTTTATTCTTCGTGGTGTACACAGGTTTTGCAGCAGAGACACTATAAATATGCCTTTGCTGCAAAGACTGCCACTCATAAAATAAGTTCAAAAGATAAATCAGATAAAGAAGGATATTTCTAATAAGGTGATCAAAGAGTGATAGTAGACAAAAGAAAATGCAGTGTCAGTTTAGGAATAAAGCTCAGTTCCACATTTATTCATCTCCATAGAATAGATGAAAACAAACCATTGCATTGTTGTCTTGTGTGGATGAAAGTAAGTTGTGCTGCAAAAGCAGAAGCACTTTCAAAACTGGATATAGATATATCTCATTTATCTCAGAAAAACACTTGAAATATATTGCTGAACTGTACAATACTGAACCTGTCACATATATGGACCATGGTTCAACTCAGTCCATTCTTCTGTTTAGTTCTAGACATTCATCTGTTACAACTAATCTTGGGCTTATAGGCTAAAATATTTTGGGATTCTGACTTGAGGAATGAACTAGCAAAACAGTGTCATTTGAGTGAGGTGAACACCAAGAGTGTTTATAAAAGTTAACAACTGTCTTCACATCTACATACAAGTAAATACAGTAAAAAACATGAGGAAACTGAAAGGCACAAGTAACATACAGGAATAAGAAGTTAAAATAAAAAGAATGGCTTTAACTTGATGCTTGTAAAAAAGGTAACGGACCACAAAGTAGTATTGTATTGTGACCTAAGTAAAGGGAAAAACAGCTAATGAAGGAAAAGGGTATCTCTGCTACATTCTCCACAAGAGTGCTTCCATTTACAGCAGATGTTAAAGCATAATGTTTAAAAATTTGAGTAATATTTTGGAATTGAAAGATATTGATATGTCGAGGTCTTTCTCTACTGACTTTTGATGAACTTAGAATTTTTATTAATTAAATAGTAAAGGAAGAAAGTTGAAAGTGAACATGGATAAGAGTAAGGTGATGAGGGTATCAAACTATTTAGATAAGGAAAACTTGGATATCAAATTGGAGGGAGGGAGTATGGAAGAAGTGAATTTTGTTCAGATATTTGGGAGTAGACCTGCCTGTGGATGGGTTATTAAGGACTAGGTAAACCATAAAATTGATGAAGGAAAAAAGGTGGGTTGTGCATTGAGGTATCTGTGGAGACAAAGAACATTATCCATAGAGACAAAGAAGGGAATGTATGAGAGTAGAGTGGTACCAACACTCTTATGTGGGTGTGAAGCATGGGTTGTGAAAGTTGCAGCAAGGAGGAGGGTGGAGGCAGTGGAGATGTCATGTCTAAGGGCAATGTGTGGTATAAATATTTTGCAGATAATTTATAATGTGGATATTAAGAGGAGGTGTGGAGTTAATAAAAGTATTAATCAGAGGGGTGAGGAGGGGTTGTTGAGGTGGTTTGGTCATTTAGAGAGGGTGGAGCAAAATAGAATGACTCGGAGGGTGCACGAGTCTTTTGTGGAGGGAAGGTAGAGTAGGGGTCATCTTAGGAAAGGATGGAGGGAGGGGATAAAAGAGGTTGTGTGTGCAAGGGGCTTGGATATAGAGCAGGCATGTGTAAGTGTGTTAGGTAGGAGTGAGTGGAAATGAATGGTTTTTGGGACTTAATGAGCTGTTGGAGTGTGAGTAGGGTAATATTTTTTGAAGGGATTCAGGGAAACTGGTTAGCCAGACTGAGTCCTGAAAGTGGGATGTACAATGCCTGCACTTTAAAGGAGGAGTTTGAGATATTTGGTGTTTATAGTGACATCTGAACTGTCGTATCTGCATACCTCTGCAAAGGCAGAGATGTGTGAATGATGGTGAAAGTGTTTCTTTTTTTTGGGTCACCCTACCTTGGTGGGAGCTAGCATGTTGGGAAAAAAAAGAGTTAAAACTAATCTGCTTAACAGACAAGTGAATCAGTATATGTAATCTGGAAATTGTAATGTTAAATTTTTATGATGTGAGTATTTCTGTTCTGATTTCTGATCCTTTTTTTTTTTTTTTTGTTATTATTTATAGATAATCTAATTCTGTTCAACTTTTTTTCAGGCCTGGTGGTATTCCTGCAAGAAATGCCAAAGGAGAACGTTTATTACTCTTCTTAGGCATCATTGATATTCTTCAAAGTTTTCGATTAAAGAAAAAACTTGAACACACTTTCAAGTCAATGATCCATGATGGGGTGAGTTGACAGAGGCGGTTTTCATTGATGCAGTGAAGCAGTTTCAAGCATTTTTTTTTTTTTTAATTTTTATTTTTTATTATCACACTGGCCGATTCCCACCAAGGCAGGGTGGCCCGAAAAAGAAAAACTTTCACCATCATTCACTCCATCACTGTCTTGCCAGAAGGGTGCTTTACACTACAGTTTTTAAACTGCAACATTAACACCCCTCCTTCAGAGTGCAGGCACTGTACTTCCCATCTCCAGGACTCAAGTCCGGCCTGCCGGTTTCCCTGAACCCCTTCATAAATGTTACTTTGCTCACACTCCAACTGCACGTCAAGTATTAAAAAACATTTGTCTACATTCACTCCTATCAAACACGCTCACGCATGCCTGCTGGAAGTCCAAGCCCCTCGCACACAAAACCTCCTTTACCCCCTCCCTCCAACCTTTCCTAGGCCGACCCCTACCCCGCCTTCCTTCCACTACAGACTGATACACTCTTGAAGTCACTCTGTTTTGCTCCATTCTCTCTACATGTCCGAACTACCTCAACAACCCTTCCTCAGCCCTCTGGACAACAGTTTTGGTAATCCCGCACCTCCTCCTAACTTCCAAACTACGAATTCTCTGCA